TATATATATATATATATATATATATATATATATACTTTTTTCATTTAAACTTATAGGTTATGCACCTTCTTATTGCATCCCCAAGCCATTAACTGCAACGCTGAAGAGTTCACTCCACATATACGAAGCCACCTACACAGTCCATTATCGAGTGCGTTTCCAATGCAATTTTTTAGTTAGTTACCAGCTCGCCCTTCTACACACAGATCAATAATTCCCCAGGTCAAGCATATACCTGCTATCAGAATAGCAACAGCGAATGTGTGTGATGACATTTACCGCTAGATAAGAAAAAAACTTCAGCTACAGCAGAATGTTCAGTATAGAAGGACCGGAGAACGCGCACGGATGAACGCACACGTACAAGCACATGCTAACATTTTCAGGGACGGTGACATTTTTGTCCTCCAATTCCTATGGAAATTGTCTAAAAGGATTTCCAGTTTACTTTGAAACACGGGTACTTGTGTAGCTGAAGGCATAAAAGTAGTTATGCCTGACAAGACTTCAGTGTCATTATTTATTAGGTTCGTAGTCTACAAACATATCGTTTGATGAATGATTGTTGTTCAGGTGAACCGAGTTTATGATATGAAAAAGGACTCAAACAACTCTAATTCTGTCCATAACACGTGGATTCCAGGAGTTTTGTATCAGTCGCTTAAGGGTTGTTGTATAAAATAACGCCGATGGGACCGAAAACATATTATACCTTAAGCGGTAGTTATGATATGACCTCTACAGCACTTGAGCTGCAACACTCAAGAGAGAGCGTGTTCAGAAGAGTATAGGGAATATGCTTTTAGGACAAAGTGAAAACCTGAAAACACGTCCAATCGGAACACGACAAAGGTAGCCGCTGGCTTAATAATAAGCTTATTTTTCCGGAGGAAAGTTGCGCAAAGCCAACCTGAAGGGACAAGTCTGAGCCAAGGTGTGACTTCCTAATTACTTTTGTATTTTTGGATCAGAAAATCATTATGATTAGAAAATCACCCCTGAGTAGAATCATGAAAGGTGGCAAAGCAGATATCGAAATAAAAAATTTTCATTCATACCCATATTCTTTACAACCTAAGCATTTTCAAAGTGGTAAACGAGATTATTCCCGGAACCAACTGAAAGCCACTCAGGGTCGCTGTATGTGTCTAAGGCCGTCAGATTCACCCGGCAACTTGTCTCAAGCATGATTTAAAAGCGAATAAATAGTCTATTCAGTAAGACTCGTGGGAGACCTCAAAAGTAAGTTTTCCGGAAAACTCAACAGATCACCCGGTTCATAATCAAACGGGAACGGCCATAAACATAGAGGAATCGCTGACACTACGAAATCCAGCAGTGTACAGTTTACTTGGTAGTGTCTAGATGTCGTATTTCATTCGCTTGATGGCTGGTAGAACACAATCTAATCGATATCGCCATAGTCTCGTTTATCGGTAAACAGGTACAAAAAGGCTTGCACTATACGAATATATGAGACTTCACTAGTCCTTGTCCGCTGTATGTACTCCGTCAACGTCATTTTTCCAAAAAATAGTCATCTGCCGAAATATAGTGAGCACCTTAAAATATACGTGCTGTAGAGAACGAGAAGTCTTCCGGCAAATATCTTTTAGAATGTGCTAAAGTGCTGAAAATGGTCAAACAGTCAGTATGACTTCAAAAGTCATATAAAAGCTTATTCAGCAGGTGAGCGTAGGATAGAACGTGTGAAAATTCGATTTTAGGTGTTTACTCTTGGGACAATGTTTCCGCCAAACAGTTTGCAATGCTGCTATGGCTCCTAATCGAGCCCCTTGTGGGCCTACTCAAACAATAAAATCCCTACTGGTGAATAGTCAGTGTACCTGCCTAACTAGTCCTCAACCCTCTCATAGCACGTGATAATTGCTAACAAAAGCTTTCGTAGTTTCACGAGATGTTTGTGATGAAACTGTGACTGCATCCGAAGAAGTTCGGCCCCCGGGACCCAAAAATTTGTAATTACTGGATCTTACGCGTGCATCGATGCAGACAGAAGTGACGATTCACCAATGGATAAGAAGTTGAAATATATCAAAAGGCTTCGTCTAAGACTTACCACAAACCACATGGCTGGACTAAGCATTAACATAGAGTTATATGAAAACTTTCAAAACACCCATATTTCATTGTTCGCCGTAAAACTGTGCGAATACTTTTCACGTACGGATGCATTCGTGACAAAAGCCCACCAAAAATGTTCGAAAAGTAATTAGGATTACGACCTAACCTTTTCCTAGACAAATCTAGCTTTTCGTTCAACTGATGAGGTCATGGGAGTGTATGTTGACAGTACAAGTGGAAGCGCTTCCACTCTCATTTGTCTAGTCACATACATCTCTTGAATCATGACTGATTCTCGCTTTATTCTAAAACTGATCACTTGTAGATAAATTACCGACAATCCAAATGAGTCACTTTGTTCGTTTTTTTCAATTTCCAGTAATGAGTGCGACAATAGTTCAATAAAACTATGAATGCAAAGTATCATTGACGGCTTCTGAAGACAACGAAAATATTTAGAGTCATCGTTACCAATCACATCATCCGAAAACCCAGGAACATGGAACATAGTACGTCAACCTGCCAAACGTATTAGTGTGTCGAACAGTTTAGACCGTGGTTACCTTTGGAGTTTTGATCAGCAGGTTTGGTCCAAAACGAGGTATCTACCTCAGATATTTATTCCCACACAAGGTGATGGCAGCGTCAAACATCTACTGCTTGGGACTGCTTGCTTTAAACCTTATAACAAACTTAAAATGAAAGCTGCATCTGTTGTCTTATTAGTACACATGTTTTCCTAGCCTTTGCCATGGCCATTTCCCCGTAAAACAAGTAAATTTAACCTGCGCACCCTTCAAGAGATAATTTACTCACTGCAAGAAGTAATACGTAACCCCAAAAATAGAACTGTTAAGATCATACTTAAGCGTACGTTTACTGTCCACGGAAACATATTTCATAGATTTTAGCGGACCCATAGTTATTTTGACTAATTTGTGTAAAACTTGCTGTTCGATTCGGTGGGGGTTAGTAATTTACAATTGGAAGCTTTTACTTGGAATCACAGTCGTATATGCATGTCCCGCAGATGCAACTACCTTCTTGATCGTGCATCAAAGTGAACACTAATGCTGACGCTATCCAGGATACACTTCTGAAAAAAGGCAAGTGGTCGGTTGGCGGAGGCGTGAATAGTTCTGCGGCTGGTAGTCGATGATACTGTCAACGGGTTCTCAAAATAAACCAGTGTGATGACAAGTTTACGAAGTAATTCGAACAGTATATCCTCTCAAGTATATGTAATTCCTTGTCAATTCCAGGTATAAAACAACATACTTGGGTCTTTCCGCAAGTCATTTTCCAGATGTTTGGCAGTTGCTTCAAAGTCGGCCTTGTTGTAGGAGAGCTCAGCGAGTATTGAACTTGCTGATTTGATTCCATCAAGCATACGAATCAAATCGACTCTTCCGTGACTTTCGCTCAAGACTGTTTGACCACGGTTGCCCATGCCTCCGTTCATATCAGCCAGTGCTTCGATCTGATAGGCCTCGACTTCCTCCTGTAGAAATGAAGAAGGAAAATTAGCAATAGAGAACAGTTATTCACTACCAAACGTTTACTCCGCGGAGAAGACGGATGTTGGGAACAAAGTGATATCTGCGTGTATAGCCAGGTTCACGAGGTTCCAAAGTGACATCAGAACGACACTAATCGTATTTTGTTGCATCGAAGTAGTCATCTTATTTTGAAGGAGCAGTAACGTTTCCGGCGGACCTACACAGAACTCCGACCATATCAGACTGACGGGTGGAATTTGTTGAGATATTAGGCTATCTTACGTAGCCTTGGCTGAAAAGTGAGGAAATATTGCACAGCCATTATAAGCTTTTTGGGGATCCGCAAGACCAGATGCTTTCCAGAAAGTGATCCAATAACTTGTTTTTCCCTCCTTATGAGTAGTCGTTCAAAGAGACCAGTACGATCGGAACTAAGTATATTTACTTTACTGTGGCAAGCTGCTACTGTAAGATTATTGGGCTCCATGAGTGCTGAAACTTGAGGTGTCTATGGGCAGCACCAGAAAATGTGCTACATCTGTCTGAAGACGATCAGCGCAATACTTAGTGCAAGTTAACAGCGTTACTGAGTAGTGCATTAAGGTTCAACTATGCACCCCCTAATGCATCTGACGTGATTTCACGATAATCCCCCATTCATTTGCTGCCTCCGACCATATACTTTTGACCTCCACTTGTTTTTTCATACGTACCCGCTATTCACTTTGCCGCAAGCGCCCTCCCGTTCGACGGTGGTATGTTACTATGTGTGTGAATGCGAGCAGCTGACCTGCTTTCCCATGTGTGTTGGCTCCGTTTGCTGAACATGCTCTGGCTTGTTCTGTTGTGAGTTCCGAATGATCTCACCACCAATCAGAATCACGTGACTGTCCTCGAAAGGGATGACCACAACCCACACTACAGGGGCAAAATTTCTATCGGCGCTGTTTCTTGTGCGGACCTCGACTTTGCACTGCGCCGGTCAGTTACATACTCGTGCACTTGTTGACATCACGAACATGGACAACAATTGAGGTTTATTGTATAACTTTGCTTATCTTTGCGCAAATTGCACCATAGGATTTCGAACCCAATTTTTATTTCTGATATTCAGGATCATCAAACGTACGCGTGACCCACAGTTTCTTATCGGGAACCTCAAAACCCTCTCATTCCTCTATTGAAGACCAAAACGTTGGACACCCTGGAAGATTCGAGAAAATGCAAACATGATTGTTTCCGACATGACTGAAACAACTCAGTAAAGGTCTTCTCGTTTTTGAGAGACAAGATTCAGAGAGGAAATTGGCAATGGGAAACCCGAAGATGACTGAATCCATAATGAACTCAAAACGAGTCGGTCAGATTCTGAATTCCCAGTTTTGCACACAGCAGTTCCTTTTGCATCGTGAATAACTTCCGGATTGAATTTCACATATTTTATTTGTAGACGGCGCAGCGAAAAACAAGAACATTAATTCAAGAACGTCCAAGTGCTCGTTAGCGGCCATCTATTGATACATTCTTTTTTCAGTCCAGAAAAACAGAACTAATCGACTCACAAAAACTCTTATTTACATGGTTAGATCGCAGTCATGAGTTCGGTTCACATAAAAACATCTCTGTCAACACCCCTGCTCCAATAAATATGCACTGAGTGATTTACCGATGAGTGAGCGGTATGGTTAATTTCTTGGATGACTGATTAATTGATCGGTTAATCATATGGTTGGTTGAGTGGGTGACTGGTTTGTGAATCATAAACTTTATGCTTTCCTGATAGATTTACTGTTTGTTTGAGTGCTGTTTCCTGCCATGGTGTTGGTAACCCCCAAAATGACATGACGTTTCACAGTGATATCATGAGGAACCCATAGCTTACCTGTAGCTGAGCCAGCCTTAGTGCCTGTTGCTCACAACTGGCATAGTCTGCCTCAAGTAACTTCAAAGAAGAGAGTTGCGCCAGAGCTTTTATCTCGAGCTGAATGGCCAGTAGACGAATCTGACCTGTTTCTCCGCCTAGATGGGACCGTATCATTCCTAGTGTAAGCGGTTGATAAGAATCGACGCTATTTTTCTTTCCAATTATAGCTGCGACGTGATCCATGCAGTCCCGACAAAGTACAAGCGCGCTTTCCATATGTTTTGCCGACATACCCGCAGTGATGGCACTGGTGGTCATCTTATCGCCTTTGGTCAGGTCGTCGTTCGCTCGAACTTTCTCTTTGACATTCAAGGTTCTGTCACTCTGAAGTGAGCGATATAGTTTTTCATTCAGGCATGCGAGCTGACGACAAATTCTGAAAGGTTTAAAAACGCATTTTTCGAAAATATCAGCAAAACATCAACCGTTAAACTGAATGAGAAGCATGTATTGATATTCTTATGCACAAAAAAGGTTTTGCTTGAATCGGCAAACACCAAAAAAACACCAGCCATGAATCTTAAAAAATATGGACATTTATCAAAAGAAATGAATAAACTTAATTCGAGAAGCTGTGAGAATGTAACGGAGAGTCGCTTACTGTAAACCGTAGTTGCATGAAGAAATTACACAAAATCAAGGAGCCTGACTTGTGGTTTGGCATGGATTCCAGATATTTTTTCTTCATTGACAGCTTACGGTGACTGTGCCAATTTGGGCCTTATTATGTGATGATCATGCTTTGCTTTTAGTGCAGTCCCCAGGCTAAAGCTGCGAGGGATAGCAACTGGAGCACAGTGTAGTAACAGTGCTTCTCGTCCCGGAAGGATATTCTCAATGGAAAATTCCGATGGATTAAGATGGGAATAAAGGCCTCATAGTTGACGACATACTGTTTCGGGGGAACGACGTTTGAACAGGTTCATTCCAT